GTAGAAGGAGGTGAGGACTGAGCTTCCCAGACCAGCTCGCCTCAGCCGTCTGAGGAAGTAGAGTCTCTGATGAGCTTTCTTGATCAGGCTGGTGGTGTTGTTGCTCCAGCTGAGGTTGTCATTCATGTGTACACCCAAGTACTTGTAGCTGGAGACCATTTCCACAGCAGATCCTCTTATGTTCAGGGGGGTGTAGGTGTTTTTGTTCCTTCTGAAGTCCACAATCATCTCCTTCGTCTTCTTCACATTGATGTGAAGGTTATTCTCTCTGTACCAGCTCTCCAGGTGTTCCACCTCTTGCCTGTAGATGGACTCATCATTGTTTGTGATGCATCCCACCACCGCTGTATCATCTGCAAACTTTACAATATGACAGCCTGGATGGGTAGCTGCACAATCATATGTGAGCAGAGTAAACAGGAGGGGGCTCAACACACATCCCTGAGGAGAGCCAGTGCTGAGGGTTATGGTGGAGGAGGAGAGGTTGTGGATCCTCACTAACTGTGGTCTGTTTGTTAAAAAGTCTAGTACCCAGTTGCAGATGGAGGGGCTTAGTCCTAGTGTGGATAGTTTGTCCATCAGGGTTTGGGGGATCATGGTGTTGAAGGCGGATGTGAAGTCCACAAAGAGCATACTGACGGAAGAGTTTTTCTGCTCCAGGTGGTTGAGCGCAGTGTGGACCACAGAGGAGATTGCATCCTCTGTTGATCGGTTCTCACGGTATGCATACTGATGAGGGTCCTCGTTGATGTTGATGGTTGTTTTGATGTGAGTCATGACCAGTTTTTCAAGCATTTAGCGACTATCGGGGTGAGGGCCACTGGCCGATAGTCATTCAGACCAGTCACTGTAGAGCTTTTTGGGACTGGGATGATGGTGGCAGTCTTCAGAAGGTGGGAACTGTCTCCAGGGTAAGTGAGGTGTTAAAGATGTCTGCCAGCACCTCACAGAGCTGATCAGCACATTCCTTCAACACTTTTCCGGGGATGTTGTCTGGGCCATTTGCTTTGTGCGGATTAATCCTCTTGAAGGTACTCCTTACTTCTGCTGAGCTCACGCTGAGATGCTCTTCGTCCCATGGTGAGGTGAGTCTGGTGCTGGGTGGTCTGTTCGGGTCTTCAAAGCATGCATAGAACTTGTTGAGGGCATCAGGCAGAGATGGGTCTTTGGGGCATTGTTCACTCCTTCCTTTATAATCTGTTATGCACTTAATGCCCCTCCACATGCTCCGAGGGTCTTGTGAGATGAATTGACCCTCGATCCTCTTTGCATATGTGGCCTTGGCCCTCTTAATACCAGCAACCAGCTCTTTTCTTGTCCTACTCAGCTCCTCTGAGTTTCCAGACCTGAAGGCAGTGTTCCTGGCTTCCAGCAGGGTACGCACCTCTGCATTCAGCCAAGGTTTTCTGTTTGGGTAGCTTTTAACATTTATGATAGTGGAGACTGTGTCAGTACATGTACTAATGTAACCCAGAACTGAGGAT